TAAGGGTTTTTGGGGTTTGGGGGTTTAGCGGTTTAGGGTTTAGGGTTTAAGGGTTTAGGGGTTTAGGGGCTTAGGGTTTAGGGTTTAAGGGTTTAGGGGTTTAGGGTTGAAAGTAATGTACTTGCCTTGTCTATCAATCATTCAGAACGTAGTGTCTACTCTCAATTGTGAAGGAGCTGCTAATTCGGACAGGCGTCTGGGCAATTCTAGGCTGATGCTTTAAATAAAAGATGTTTTTTCAAAAGGCTTAAACCCATTTACACAATCAAAAAAAAAATATATATATATATAGAGTGAAAGTCAACATGCCCCTTCCGGTCTAACGAGTTTTCACTGGACCCAGTAACGCCATGTGTGACTACCGGATACCAAGTTCTGGTGGCGACATCGCACGGGCAAGGATGCCTTGACCCTAAACCCAAAGCTCATACAGTTGACGTTCCTCAAAACCATCCGTGCCATCGAGCGGCTCACTTCCAAGGTCAAACTTCCAGCAATGATGTTGTAGTTTTCGAGGGTGGTGGATGTGATTGTGGTCGTGCTGGTCAGGGTGAAGGAGCTTGTCGTAGTCGAAGACACAGTGACACCTGGGCGGTTCTTCGTGTCTCGCAAAATCGCCATGCATGTTCGCTAGACTAACACACAACTCAACAGGTTTGCTGAAAAAGGACCCAGAAACTGGTTCTGGTGATGGTGGCGGAGGTTGTGCTCGTGGCTGTGGCAGAGGTGCTTGTGACTGTGCTGGTTGTGCCGGTGACCGAAGTTGTGGTAACAGACGTTGCTGTGGCAGTCTCAGTGGCCGTGGACGTAATGGAGGTGGTGGCCGTGACTGTCGTTGCTGTGGCTGTAGTGCTGCTGGTTCTGCTTGTGGTGACTGTTGTGGCAGTGATTGTTGTGCTGGAGGTAGTCGTGGTTGGAGAAGTTGTAACTGTCTCGGAAGTCGTTGTTACCGTTGATGATGTCGTGCTCGTCGCAGTTGCAGACGTGGATGTTTCCGTCCAGGTAGTAGTTGTGGCACCTGATGTGGATGTGACCGTCAGTGTCGTCATCGTCTGTGTGGAGGTAGTGCTGGTGACACTGGTGAGAGTACTCGTCATGCTGGTGCTGGTGGCCGTCATGCTTGTGGTACTTGTGCTGGTCACCGTGCCAGTCGTGCTTGTGCTGCTTGTCTGCGTCAGGGTGGAACTCGTGAAAGTGGCGCTGGTGCTTGTTAAGGTGGTCACCGTGCTGGTCTGGCTCGAGATCGTGATTGAAGTGGTTGATGTCTGGGAGACAGTGATTGAAGTGGCACTTGATGTAGTGGAAGTACCGATGTAGCTCGTGGTTGAGCTGACTGTTGTACTGCCTGTGGTAGTAAGCGTGACCGTTCGGGTGGTTGCTGTAGAGCTGGTGTCCGTGAGGCTCGTAGATGTGACACTGGTAGTTGTTGCGCTGGTGGTGGTGACGGTGATGGTGGTGAGGGTCGTGCTGGTGCGCGTTGTGCTAGTGCCCTCATAAGTGAAGGTTGTGCTGGTCTCAGAAGTGGTCATTGTCACCGTTGTTGAGCTGATTGAAGATGTGGCGGTAGCAGTAGTGCTGCTGGTTGTGATAGGGTTGATGGCAGGGGATGAAAATGAGGTGACAGTCACAGAGAGACCTGTGCTTCCACCATCCAAAGCAGCCTGCAGCTTGCTTGTCATGGAAGCTGTGGTCTCAGAATTGATGCTGGCAACCACCGTGGACGGATCCATACCTGAGCTCAGATCAAGGCCACATCAAAAAATCAACTTGACACCAAGACCAAACCCATCGAACCCGGACTTCAAACCGTGAAGAGCCCGTGCAGAACAACAGCCCGGTGGCTCCCTGCAGGTAGAACGATGGCATAGTCTACCACGGCACTCCCGCTCAGCCTCCGCGGACTCGGCTCGATAGGATAGTTCTCTCGGTTGGATACTTAGCAGTTCACGGGACTTGGTAAGTAGGTTACAAATATGAGTTACGAGTGACCTACTACACTAAGCCATAAACTAAACCCTAAGCACTAAAACCAAAGCCCTAAAGCCTACAGCCAAGGCCCTAAACCCTATAAGTGAAGTACTCCAAATCAGAGTCTACACCCTACCAGCTCCCCAAACGACCCTCTATGAAACCCGTAAATACCTACTATCAAGGACCACATAGACCCCCTGTGCACCAGTTCAGTGTCAAAGGTGTGCTTTAGGGTTTAGGGTTTAGGGTTTACGGTTTAGGGTTCTGGTTTGTTGTGTTTTTGTTTTTCTTTTCTGGTGCTTCTATGGGATTCAACGGGGCTTTGTAGAAGCTCCAACTTTCGGGCATAAGGCTCTGAAATAAGCCCTCAAACCTAAACCCTAAACCCTAATCCAAGCTCGGGGCCTGGTGCTAAGGCTCCATGTATCCATACAGTATATACTTCGGCCTTTAAAGTAGTAGGCCACCGTGTTTTCCATTGGGTACATGGATCCTACACCCTAAACCCTAAACCCTTTAGGCAGATGGATCATTACCGTTAGGTCTTCAGGGTTTCGCCGCTTGGGGCTTCAGCGCTTGCCGCTCTATCGCGTCATAGAGTTCCAGTCTTCTGGGGTTTGTATGAGGGCTTGCAGAAGAGTCTGAATATAGCCAAAGGGTCGGAATAGTTGGAAATGGTATCCACTCTAGTACCCTTTGTCACTCTGCTATAATTTACCCCGCAACCCCATTCCACGCATTGAAGTCCTAAGCCCTAAACCCTAGAGCCAAAACCCTAAACCCGAATAAAGCCCCTGCAGTAGGGTGTTGGGGTTCAAGGTTGTGGGGATCCGGCGACCTGCTACGTTTAGGGTTTAGGTTTCAGAGCGGCTTTATGGCGTGCAGCTTTCTTGGTCTTTGCGCTGGAGGGCTTCATGGCCCGTACACAATTTATTCTGAGACCTCAAAGCATTAAAAAACCAAAGGCCAAGTACCTATGTACACCCTCAACCCCGCATACAATCCTGCGAACAGCCAAGAAAATCAATCTCCGCTGCCGTAACTCCAAAGGGTCTTGAAAGGATCTTCATGGGGGCGAAAAGCTTCACCATTTTAAAAGGTCATGAGGGTTTCATGTTGCCAAGAAGCTTAGTTTATGCGGTGTAGGTTTTGGGGGTAGGGCCTTTATCAGGGCAATATGAGGCTTTCACGCGGCTTCATAGGGGCTTTTTGCTGGGAGTCTCCCCATGAATCAATCTCCAAATCAGAACCCCCACAAGATGGTTCTGTGAGAATCATATTTCGGGCTTCCTCAATTTTTAGAGGGTCCACGTACCCAAAATAATAGGCTTTATGTGCCGAATCCTATAGCCTAAACCCTAAACCCTAAAGCCCTCGTCTGAGGGCACTTGGACCCTGAATTCCGGCTCTAAGCCCTGCACCCGCCTGTGCCCGAACCCGACACACCCAGGCCCAGCAGCCGACAAAATCGACGGTTCTTTGCGGGATCCGAAGCATAGTTAGAGTAGCTCATCCCGAAAACGGTATGAAACTGTGCTAAACCCTGAAACCTAAACCCCTAAACCCCTAAACCCCTAAACCGCTAAACCCCTAAACCCCTAAACCCCTAAACCCTAAACCCTAGGGTCCAGGGGCCCCAGGGCCCTAAGAAGCCCAAAGGTGCCTCCTCCGCTCGTCTTCATCTGCCAGGCGTCGAGCGCTGCACCTGGCGGCGGGGCGTCGGGGCATTGTGAGACAAAACCATGATTTGGGGTTTAGGGTTTAGGGTTTAGGGCTTAGGGTTTAGGTTTAGGGTCTGGGGTTAGGGTTTAGGGTTTAGGGTCTAGGGTTTAGGTTTAGGGCTTAGGGTTTAGGGGTTTAGGGGTCTAGGGTTTAGGGTTAATTACTCCTGCCAAGGAGCTGAGACCTAGGGACTAGACGGCTGTGTTGGGAGAGTTTAGGTTTGTGGGCTTGGGGTTTGGGTGGGTTTAGGGTTTAGTGCTTAGGGTTTGGGGTGTAATGGGCCTTCATGAGGGACTTCGAGAATTTTATGCGGCTCCAAGTTTGTACAAAAGCCTCACAAGGCTCTCAAGACCCTAAACCCTAAACCCTAAACCCTAAACCCTAAACCCTAAATCCTAAACCCTAAACCCTAAACCCCTAAACCCTAAACCCTAAACCTCTAAACATCGGATTTGCGGTTCCCAAAGACGAGCAATCCCAAACTTGGGGCTCCTATTTTTGGGGGGGTGTAGGATTTAGGGTTTTGGGCTTTAGGGTTTGGGGGTTTAGGGTTTGGGGTTTAGGGTTTAGGGCTTTGAGTTTAGGGTTTCCTGGTTACTAGCCTATTCAGGGCTTGCACTTTGGCCCACAAGTCCCTGATATTTCCGACATGACTACTGGCTTTAACTCTTTAAGAATTCCATGCTCTGAATGGGTTTTGGTATCTAAACTTCTACTACAAGAAAGCATGTCTACAGGCTTACTCTTCCGAAACTCTGTCATGGTGCCCTAAACCCTAAACCTTAAACAAGCGCGTCTTAACTTGGAGGGCCGACCTGCAGAGCTCGAAGCCGAGGAGCTTCTGGTTGGTCGTTTTGTCGACCAACGCTATTGTCGTCGCCTCGTCTAGACCTGCTCAGATGGCCGCCTTCTCGGAAAATTGACGCGGGCTCGCCAAGGCTCCCGTTGAGCAGCTGCGGCGCTTTTACGGCGACGTCGTCGACTGTCGCGTTGTACAGCACCTATGCACGATTGTGCAATGCTCGTACCCTTCTGAGGTTGCCGCTCACTTGGTTGCCTTGATCTGCGCGGTCTTTCCTGAGAGGGCTTCCAGCGTCACGACTCTCAGCTCCACTTTGAGGATCGGGTGTGAGGGTTTAGGGTTTTGGGTTTTAGGGTTTAGGGTGTAGGGTTTTGGGTTGTGCCCAAAGTTCATCTGAAGTGCAAAGGAATTGAAACAAGCAAGGTCAGAAAAACCCCGTGCATGAACCCAAGCCCCAAACCCTATACTATACCCTGAAGCCCAAACCCCCTAAACCCTAAACCCTAAACCCCCCTAAACCCGAAACCCTAAACCCTAAACCGTTAAAACCTAGGGAACACTCAGCGCCATCAAAACAGCCCAAAGTAGACCCTCAAACTGTGCCCAGCGTTTAGGGTTCAGGGCCTAGGGTTACCTAGCCCCTAAACCTCAAACCGAACGTCGAGCATCTTAAGTCGAGCTCGCAGCTCCAAAAAGACCTTCAAATAACGGTTTAGGGTTTAGGGTTTAGGGTTTAGGGTTTAGGGTTTAGGGCGGGCAGCTCCACAGAGCCCTTATGAAGAAGCCTGCATGGAAGGAGCGCATGGATTCTTAGTCTCTGGTCTTTAAACCGTTACGACCTGAACCCTGACTGACACCAACTGCCCAAAACCCTAAACCTCGAAACCCTAGATCTCTAGACCGCTGGCTCCAAAACCTCTGGGCCAGTAAACCTCGAAACACCGCCCCCCCAACAACAAAAAGAAGGGTCTTCGTTTAGGGTTTTTGGCGTTAAGCGTTGGCTTCTACGAACTTGAAAATCGGATTAGAGTACAGGATTCAACGGAACGGGGTTTGGAAAATCCATCCCCCCCTTAACCCTAAACCCCTAAACCTCTAAACCCTACACCCCAAAGCCCAACCCTGAACCCCTAAACCCTAAACATCCCGAAACCCCTCCCTCTGCCTGACGCCGAACACGTCCACCTGGGAGGCGCTCACGGCCGCGGCCAAGGCGATGCCACCTGCGAGATCATCCCATGCGGCCTTGGTTGAACAAGCCTAAACAGGCAGCCTAAAACCCAAATCCTTAACCCTCAACCCCTAAACCCCTGAAGCACCCAAAAGCTTTATACCCCCTTAAACCCTAAACCCCAGTCCCCACAGCTCTGAACCCCTGAACCCTAAACTCCTAAGCCCTAGATCGGCCTAAGGGTTGTGCGGGTTTTGGGGGTGTCTACTTGAGGGTTGAGGGTTTAGGAGTTAGGGTTCAGGGATGACTGGGCCCATGCTCAAGTCACGGTTTTAGCTGCCCTACGTCGCGTTGCTGTATGCAGCCATACTTCCCTAAGGCTCCATGTGCCCATCTAGGGTTTAGGGCTTAGGGTTTAGACTAGGATCTACTTACGCCTTAAAGAACCCTTTAAGGCCTAAGTATATACTGTGGGCCCTGATACCCTGAAACCTTCACAAGGTACCCTTAAAGGAGCCCTTTGGGTTCTTTAAGGGAGCCCTGACGGGCAGCTGGGTTTAGGGTTTAGGGTTTAGAGTTTAGGGTTTAGGGTTTAGGGCTAAGTCGCCTAAACTTGAAACCCTGAAGCCCCTGAACCGGCATCTGACTCGAGATTGGTATCTAAGGGGTTAGGGGTTCAGGGGTTTCGGGGTTTAGGGGTTTAGGGGTTTAGGGTTTAGGGTTTGGGGTTTGCCGCTTAGGGTTTCAAGGATTGCGGGGCTTAGGTGTAACCCAAAAAGTTGGAAACCGGATGAAGGGCACATAGTGCTGGGATTCCCTATACATGATACT